CTGGGGCGTCCAGCCTCCAGAACTGGGGGACACCAAGCGGACTAGACCAGGCTGTAGGTGACTCTCAGGCTGCCCCCGCTCATGCAGCCGGGTCCCAGAGGACGCCAGACGCCTGAGACGCTGCAGCACAAGACTCACCGTGAGGCAAAGAGAGACACGTAGGTACGAAGGTCCCTGAGTGGGAACAAGTCTGTGCACACATTCGGCTCGAGGGCGTCCGTCCCCAGCATGCAGGCTCCCCCCCACGTACACCCCCCTCTTCCTCAAGAAGAGGGGCCACATCGGGATAGAGTAGAAGGAATCTGCAGCCCGGGCAGGCTTCTCCAAGAGAGAAGTGACTGTGCCAAGTGGCATCATGTGAGTTGAGCTCCCAAACGAATCGTCTTGCCCCCTGGCCACAGCAGCCCCGTGGGTGAGACACACCCAGCGCCCGGTCCCTTCTATCACTTGGACTCCCGCTGAGTGCAGCTTCTTGCTCTGGATGGTTCTGAAGCCACGCTTGGTTTGTGTCATCTGACCCAGCGCCTTCTCTCGCTTGTGCAAATATTTACCTTACATTCTCCCCCGCTGGCCGGGGGAAAGGTTTTACTAACGTGCATGTTCCCCACGGCCCCTCTGCAGATGCACGTTTCCTCCGAAGCCCTGGGATTCCCGTACAGGGACAGACACGGTGACCAGCCCAGCTCTCCCTCACACCGGGAGCCCGTCGTTAAAGGAGCACAGCTTTTCCAGAGAACGTGCTTCCCACCCCTCGACACCTGCCTGAGCTGCCCAGATCCAGCCAGAGCCCTTTCATATAACGTGAAGTGAGAGATCCCCCCCCCCCCCCACGGAGAACTTTAACATCCCCCGATGTACAGCTTTGCGAGGAGAAAGTGCAAATTGCGACTTAGAGTCGGTCCTGTTTCTGCACGGTGCAGGCCGATGTAGATTACCCTTCGGCGAGGGCAGCGTAGCGATTCTTTCCTGCAGATTAATGCCCTGCGTGAATGTGTTTCCCGGGAATGTTAGACAAATAGAGACCATTAGCTACGTGGTTTCCCTTTCAGAGACCCAGCAGGCAAGACGTGGTCAGATGCCAGGTATCCAAGCACCAGCATGTCTGTGGGGCCCTGCAGCTGGTAGCCCGGCCTGGCCCCACATATATGCGTCTGGGAGGTGAGAACGCGAGATGTGTGGCAGAGTTTGGTGGGGTTGAAATAGGTGCCTAAAGGTTCTGCTAAAGTACTGAATGAATGCTGTGTGTGCGCGAGCGTGAACGTGTGTGCATGCGCATGAGTGTGTGTGCGTGAGCTGTGTGTGCGTGAGCGTGTGCGTGAGTGTGTGCTTCTGTTTCTGGGGAGACGGAACAGATATACCCTTTGCTTCTTCTCCTTCCAAGGACAACAAGAAACTCTGGACAGTTTATATGAACGAGCAAGAGAAGGTTCTGGAAGGTGTGGGGCCTGGGCACGTGGCGGGGAGGCTCCTGGGACTCTGATTCGCTTCTGTCCAGTATCCCAGGCCTGGATCGACAGAAAAGCAACAGGTGCACACAGCAAACCCCCAGCAGAGCCTCCCTCTGGGCAAAGGATGGGGGAAGACGCAGCCCAGCAGGACAGAGCCCTTGGACAAGAATCCTTCTCCTCCGAACACTCAGAAAAGGCCGTGGGTCCACCTCGACCCAGCAAAGGGGTCGTGGGGAGCATATGAGGCCAGAGGCCCCACCAGCCCTGCCGAAATGGTGTCAGACCGAGATTTTCATCACTGCAGCCGGTCCCGCCGAAGTGTAAACAGAGAGCATGCAGAAATCTGGGTGTCCGTTCTCGCCCCCCCAGTAACGAGGAGCCCTTCCCTCGGGGTCGGGGGGGGCCTTGACTCCTACGTCCCCTGGCAGGACCACCTTCCCTCTGCCCCTCCAGCTAAAACACAGGGTTTTAAGATTCAGGGTCTAACAATTAAAAAACGTTCAGGTTTCCATCAAGAATCACTCGTCATGCCAAGAACCCAGAAGATCTCGGAACGAATGAAACAAGATTGTTAGAGCAATGGGCAGGGAGGGGGTTGGGGCAGTCCCAGCTCCGGCGTGGTGCAGGCCCCCGACCACAGTCAGAGACCACCCCCGCTCTGTCCTGAGACCCAGGCAAGCAGGGAAGGAAAACAGCCCCTGCCCCAGTGCCATGGCACCTTTGGGCCCCTGGCTCTCCTGCCTGGAGAGCCCACGCTGGCTTCGGTAAGGTGACTCCACCATATTCTCTTCCGGCTGCTGGGCCCCGTGGGCTGGCGACCGCAGGTGCGAAGGTCCCCTGGGAGGCAGTGGGAGTGGCGTTTCCAAAACACGGTTTTCTATTGTTTTAAATTTCCTAACCACAAAAAATGTATGAGTTTCATACTGTCGCAGAGAAAATGGAAATAAGATTTATGCTCACAACTTATGGACCCAGTTTCATAGATATTTGGTGCTTCTATCATGAACTTGACAGGTTCGTCTTGTTTTCTCCCCTAAGAAGTTGTTGAGCGTGGATAGAAACTACTTAAACATGATAAAGACTCATTGCTAAAACCCCAGATCAAACATTTTACTAAATGGAAAAATGGAGTCATTTCTATTAATTCAGGAACAGGACCCAGGGCCTGCCACGGATCGACGCGGGGCCGGAGGCATTAACGGATCCTGTGAGACAGGAAAGCGAGCCCAGGGCAGTAACTGTGGAAAAGAAGAGAAAAATCTCTTTATGCACAGACGACTGTGAGCGTGCCTACACAGTGTATTAGATTTTAGTAAAATCGTAGAATTTAGCCAGGTAGGCGGGCACACACATGGTTCCCATTCGCAACACAACAAAACCACACGGGGTCTCTGGCCACGTTTGACAAGGAAGATGTGCTGCACGGGCTCCTGCGGGTCCCACGGCGGCTCACGGCCTACTCACTACTACTCACGTAGCAGGTGGGTTCTGCCCGTGCAGCCCCCTGAGGTCGCAGCCGGCGGCTGGGAGAGGGGGGAGGCCACCATGTGACTGCGAAAACCGTCCAGCTGAGCCCGGCCGACCCCCAGAACCGCCAGAGGGGACAGTGAAGACGCCGTCAGTGTTCGGAGCCGTGGAGCTCAGGGCCGGTCATAGTTGGGGCCTCGGCTCCGGCCGCTGAGCGCTCCGGCCAAGCCCCGAAATTCTGTCCGTGCCATCTCCCGGGGCAGGGGCGGCCCACAACCGCCTCTGTGCCCAGCTCGGGGGTGGGGGGCCCGGCTGGGGGTGGCCCCCATCCTCCTTGCTGACAAGGCAGAGGGGCTCTGGTCCCGATGGTTCCCTCAACTCTGGGGACGCCTGGAAGAGGACGCTCGGGGACAAGGTCTGATGAACAGACTCTCACAGAGTGGCCACAGAGCTGGGGGGGCGGGGGCGGGGGGGGGGGGGGAGGCGAGGAGAGGGCTGCTCTCCAGGGGCCCCACCAGGACGGGGGTTTGAACACTGTGAGCGTCAGCACACCCCGTGATTCAACACCCAGTCAGTAACTAGAGGTCGGGGGGGGGGGGGGTTGCAGATTTTTCTTTTGAGGTAAATGTACTTACAATGAAATCGAGTTTTGCAAAAGGAAGACAGCGGTGTAAGCCAAACCCCGTGAAGCGGGAGGACGTTGCCACCAGCCCGGAACGTTCCTGCTGCCCGTCCTCGGTCGAACCTACCACCCCCACCCCCGGAGGAACCCCTGTCCGGGGTTAGTTTCCTAACCCGAAGGTTAGTTTCCTCCGTCCCCCCGGAACTTCTAAGTGGAGTCGTGCATTTAAGGCTCCTTCCCCCGAGCACGTTTTCAAGATTCGTGCACGTGGAATGAATGATGTTGTAGCAGTAGTTTCTTCCTTTTCAGGGCTGAGGAGCCCCCACTGTGTGGACGTCCCGCCCTCCTCTTGACAGGCGGCCGGACCGCTTCCCAAATTTGGCTCCTGGGGACGACAGTGTGTATGTGGCCCGCTGAAGGTCGCACTGCGGCGAGGGCAGGGCCACGACCTGAACTCAGCGTGTCGGTCTGATGCCAGAGGTCTTGGCCTCTCTGGCCGGGGGCTTCCGTGGCGCGTGCTCTGTGTGCTCTGGGCGTGTGCGCATCAGGGGTGGGGGGTGGGGGTCTGCACTGGGGCTCTGAGCCCTGATTGCTGTAGACCAGCGGGGTGACCTTGAGCACACAGCTGACCCTGCGTCAGCCTCCACTCCTGGGACCCGCCTGCTCCTCCGGCCGCTGCTGAGGCCGGTACTGTCGGCACCCGCTTCACCGCGTCCCCCGTCTCCGGTAGGGTGCTCACACGACCTCCACGAGCGAGGGCATCAGCCCTGGGGCCACGCTGGACCCGCGGCGACAGAGGCCAACACGGGGGGGGGGGGGGGGGGACTGAGCTCCCGGCGCTCCAGTGGTGACATCTCCAGAACAAACCCACGTGTTACCTCTGCTCAGCCTCTCTTCTGCTTCGTTCTTCCCAAGCCGCCGTTCCGGCGTCCTGGCGTCACCTGCCTGCACCGACCGCCGGCAAACAAGCCTTGTTTCGGGCCGAGGAGGCACGTGCTGCGCACAGACCGGCAGGGACGGCAAACGGAGAGCCAGTGCCGGGCTGGCGCTCGCGAGCTGGCGTCTGTGAGCCCGGGTCAGTCGCTGTGCGGCCAGAAAGCGCCGGACACAACAGGGGGCAGATGACGGGCCGGCACGACCCACGAGGCTTCAGGGCATTCGTGGCCCTGCAGTCCCACGGGGCCGTCAGGCTCAGGCGGTGTGATTCCTGCCCTGCCGTGGAAACCAGTGTGCCCGTTCCTCGCAGAATTAAAACCGCAGTCAGATGACACAGCGTCCCTTCGGGCGTCCCCTCGGGGGCACTGCCCGCACCCTGCCCAGTCCCGCCTCGGGGGCGATGCCCGCACCCCCACCACCCAGTCCACCTCGGGCGTCCCCTCGGGGGCGATGCCCGCCCCCCCCCCTGCCCCCACAGCAGCCGCGGTCCGTTGACGGATGATGGATAAACACAGTGTGGTGCAAACAGGCGACAGGGCATTACGTGGCTTACAGAGGGATTTCTGCCACTCGCTGCCACGCGGACGAACGCGAAGGACGCCACGGGCAGCGTCAGGGGACTTCCCGGGAGAGAGCACGTCTTCCGTCTCTGTCTGGGGTCTACCAGGCCCTGGGAGCGGGAACGCCACCCTCCGAGCTCCTGAGAAAGCCGGTGAGGAGGGGGCCTGCCGGGTGCCCCCGGCCTGACACCCGCTGTCGGGGGACGACCAGAGACGCTCAGCTGTTTGGGTCCGAGTCACGCGGGCGCTGGGGTCCTTGGATCCCAGCGTGCAGGCTGCCCACTCTGGGGTGGGGGGACATGGCCCCTTCTGGGGGAGACAGGCTGACCTTGGGCACGTCTGACTTGCTGACAGAAACCAGAGTCGGTCCCCAAACACTGTCCGTGGCGGTGCAGACGGACGCAGGCCACAAGCAGCAGTTCCCAGAAGCAGGCGCTCAGACAGCGTCCACCGTCGCCAGGTGGGAGACCCAGGGCTGGTACCAGGGCACAGCTGGGACGGAGGCAGAACTGCCAGTCCAGGGTCCGGAGCGCGGGGCCGGGAGGGCGAGGAGCTGGGAGAGGTCTCTGCAGGGGAGGGGGCTCGGCCACAGAGGACAGGGAGACCTCTGGTGACGTTTAAAGACGGGAGTCAGCCTGGTGGAGGGGGAGGGGCACGCGCGATGCCCTTGGGCCCAGGAGGGGGGTCGAGGACCCAAGACACGAGGGTCTGGGAGCTGCGGGGTGAGAGGAGGGGCCAGAGCTGGGTCTGGCGGGGAGGGCCCCGTTGGCGTGTGGAGGAGACTGGCCGTGTCCCGATCCACAGGTGCCCGAGCCCCGAGGGTGTGAGGCTGGGAACCGGGGGTGGGGGTGGGGGTGGGGGGGTGGCCGTTCCTGCCACCGGCCAGGAGCTTTGGCTCCTCGGAGGACGCCGACACATGTCTGACCCGGCGGCCGGGACGCCTGGGGGTGTCTCTGCTGGGCACCCGTCTGGCCTCACCGGCTTCCAGCGCTGGCTCCCCCCCCCCCCCGCCCCCCCCCGCCGGCCCGGGGGGCGGAGCCTGTTGGACTGTGTTCCGGGGCCTCCCCGGGGCCCAAAGCCAGACGGAGGCTCAGCCCCTGTGATTCGGATTCTGGGGGGGTTCCTACCGGCCCGCACCTGACGAGCGGGGCCTGCCTGGGGCAGCGTCCCCGTGACCCCACGTCTTCCTGGGCTTTGGGCTCGGACTGAAGGCTGGCGGCGGCAGGACGTCAGCTCGCTGTGCCGGCCCCTCCTCCCCCTGTGGGCAGCAAATGGCTCTTTTACAGGAACTGCGGAGAATGCATGGAAGGCGGCACGAAGCGCTAAACATCTGGAGACGGCCGTCCACACGCCATTTAAAATCGTCTGTGTCCCCAACAGGCAGGTGCTCCCCACCGGGGGATTTGGCTTGGATCTGGGGCATCGGGGGGAGCCCGGGGGGCACGAGAGCCCACAGCCGGGAGGCTGGGCCCCGGGTCCCCCTCGTGCAGCAGGGCAGGCGCTGGCCTGAAGATGGGGACATCCGTGAGGGGCGCTAAGAGGACGGGGTCGGCCAAGGGGCAGGAGGGGCTGGTCCAGGAAGGGTTCTGGGGTGCAAGGCTCCCGATGCCTCCCAACCAGAGGACATGGGGTGCTGCGCCGAGGGCATTCCTTCCTGAGGCAGGAGCCCAGGGGCCCGTGCCATCGAGGGGCCGGCAAGGACCTAGATGGGGACCCACGTGTCCCCAGAAGATGGCCTTTGTCCCGGGAGATGGGACTCCTTGGGGGGGGGGAGGGGTTTTTTTTGTTTGCATCTTAGAAGGAGCTCCCTACAGGGTTGGAAGTAGGACAAAGGGATGCTGGGCAAGAGGCGGTCCTTCTGATCTGGACCCACCCGAGGACCCAGAGGGGGGCAGCTGGGTGCAGGCCTCCTGGGGGTAAGTGGCCGAGGAGGGACACAACCTGAGTGTTCTCATTGCCACCCAGATGGCAGGGCTGTGAAGGGCCAGCACGGGGCCGGGAAGCTCCTCGCAGGGCAGAGCCGCCAGCACAGGGCGGGGTAACCGCCGAGCCCTCACAGACGCGGCCTCGGCGCCCCACACGCGGGGACGCCCCCGGCGCTGCGTCTGTGGCCGCGTCCCGGCAGCGCCAGCCCCCCAACTCTCTGAGTGCACCCCCCCCCCGCCCCGCCCGGCACCGGGATATAAATTCAGGTTTTCTTGTTTCAAACCCCGTGCTTTCTTCACTCGACCACACGGCTCCTCCGGGGCTCACAAGACCCCCTGGGATCCTCTCCGGATCTCGAGCTCACACCTGTCTGGGCTTTAATCCCAGTCGGAGGGCAGCATCGCGGGCTTCACCCCATTCTTTCTAACCTCTCGCCAAATCTGGTGCCTCCCCGCTCACCGCCTGGGCCTCGAGCCACGTTATAGCCGAGCCTGTGGCCGTGTCACCGAAGAAATACAGAGATTCTCACATCACGTTACAGCGTTTACAGAAATCTCAGAATATTGTTCACACAGCCCTGCCGCTTCGCGTTATGGTCGCAAGACACCTGCCCTTATGCCTCGTTATTTAGCTGCTGACCCAGAGAAACACGCAGCTGTTATACGTTAGTTCTAAAAATGTTTCGATGATTGTGCTCCCACACAATTCACCGGCTTAGTTTACGTTATGCTTTTAAATATTCCCAGGGAGGCTCCCCGCTCCTCAGATGACGGCAGGCCTCCGGGCGCGGACGGCCCCGATGCCCAGAGCAGGAGTGGCGAGTTGGAGCTCGCCTGGGTCAGCTTGATGAGCCCCGTGGCGTCACGGAACGTCTCCAAACCAGGGTTTCTCGCCTGGGCACTGCTGGCATTTGGGGCGACTCCGTGCGAGGGCCCCATCCCGTGCATGTAGGGTGTCGGCGGCACCCCTGGCCTCCCCCCCGCCTCGGATGCGAGTGGTGCCCGCTGCCAAACATCCCCTGGGGTGCAAGACTCCCGGCTGAGGCCACCTGCTAGGTGCCCCGTGTGACCCCTGAGTGCTCCTTGAGGGCTCCCCACAGTGACGCCTCTGCTCCGAGCTCTCAAGCAGTGAGACTGTTTGCAAAATCCTGTCTTCCTGTTAGTAAGTTCAGGGTCGAGAGGGGCTGGCGGCCTTCACCGTGGTGGGTACAGGTGCAGAACAGGCAGGGGCCGGGACGAGGGGAACCCGAAAGGCCAGGATGCTGGACCCCGCAGGGCAGGTGCTGTGGCTTCACCAACCTCAGAGGATCTCTAGTTTCTGTAAAAGCTGGAGGGCGGGTGTCAGGGCCACACTGCTGTCCCGGGTGTTTGGTTCAGGGGGGACAGGAGACCAGGGGTGGACAGGAGACCAGGGTGGACAGGAGACCGGGGGGACAGGAGACCGGGGGGGACAGGAGACGGGGGGAACAGGAGACGGGGGGGGACGGGAGACCGGGGGGGGGCAGGAGAGCCGGAGGACAGGAGAGGGGGGGGGGACAGGAGACTGGGGGGACAGGAGACCAGGAGGGACAGGAGACCGGGGGCGGGGGGACAGGAGACCAGGGGGGACAGGAGACTGGGGGGGGGGGGACAGGAGACTGGGGGGACAGGATACCAAGGGGGACAGGAGACCAGGAGGGACAGGATACCAGAGGGGAGCAGGAAACCAGGAGAAAGGGTGCATTTCTCAGCTCGTTGGGAGCACGGAGGAGGAAGGATGCTTGACCAAGTGCAGCCACCACGTTGGAGCATCTACTCCGGGCCAGGCGCTGTGCCGTCGCTGGATTCGGTCCTGACAGGACACTGGGAAGCAGGTGCCATTCACAGCGTCCCCTGACCAGTGAGGGACGTGAGGCTGAATGCCCGTGTTCCTGTTGCCTCCTGTGAGCGACTGGCCCCGGAAAACCTGAAGCTGACATTGCTACGTGCAGCTAGGGTCCTCGAGGACCTCCCTGGGAGGGAGGACAGATGCAGGCCTGGGGAACACCTGGGGAGCACCTGGCCTGACCGGGCTCCTGGGATGGCTGTCTGGAGGAGGCGGCCCACGCTGGGTCCTCAGCGAACCCTCGGCCGCCCCTGCCCCCTGCCTCTTGGCAGGCCAGGCGGCATTTAAGCAGAAACCCTGATGAAAATTCAGCTCCCTCCCTGCGGCTCGTGATACAAAGTAGTGCCAAACGAGGTCTAGCGAGTCAACACTGCTCCCCACACGCCCAGCGCTCGCTGTCCCGGGGGCTCTCGGGCCCCTCCCAGCCGCCGCCCTCAGCCCCGACCCTGAGGTCACTGATCCTCCCCTGCCCGCCTGGCCCCACCCCGATATTAAAGTCACACTTCAAACTGTCACTCTGTTTTTAATTTTTACTCAGTCTGCGTCCGGATAAACCAGGATTTGACCAAGCTCCCAGCTCTCTCCGCTCCAACCACGTAGCAATTTTATGGATCAGAGTTTTGTTTCTATTTGTCTAAAGCCCAGAGGAAGAAAGAAATCAAGTCCACAGATGAAAATGTATTTGAAGAGACATTTCAGGACTTGGGAGACTTTTTCATCCATCAGTTTCTTAGGAACAGCACCCAACAGGCCCGGGGGAGGCCTGCACAGCAGGTGCACAGGTAGGTGGGTGGCCGCAGGCCCCTGGAGGGAGGGTTCAGCCGTCTGGGCTGGGCAGCCCGTCTGCTTTGCAGACAAAATAGAAAGAAAAACTCCAACTTCATTCATACTTTATTTGGAGGAAGAACACGTGTACAGAAAATCTCTGTTTTGGAAAATAAACTGTATGGCTGTTGGGGGTGACGCTATAACGGGTAATGAGGGGGCTCGGGGCTCTTGAGACACATGGTCACGCGAATCCTTAAACCGCCGAATGAAACGTTACCTTGTAACGTTCCCTGCCAGGCCCCGCGTCTGAGCACATCCGGCCATCCCCAAAGTCACCGGACTCACCCGACGCACCGTCTGCGCGCCAGTCCGTGGACAGACGCTCATCACGCTTCACCAAAGGACGGCCGCTTCTGGACAGGCTTCCACAAAGCAGAGTCCACCCTCGTCTTTTCCTAACTCCCTCGCTGGGACTGCTGCGCCCGCTCTGAGTACAGTGTCGGGTCAAGGAGGTTGCCCCAACCCCCCCTGGAGCCTTCCCCAGGGGCCTCCCGCGGGAAGCACAGCCCCCAGACGGAGCCTGCGTCGAGCACGGCAGACCTCGGGGCGAATCGGTGAGGGACATGCTGACAGAGGAGGCAGGCAGCGCCCACAGCACAAGTCACGGGATTGCTCCGCAGCAGGGACACACTGGACACCTTCTCCAGGACCGCCCGGGCCCCCTGCTACCCTCCACTGTCGTGAAAACCGCCGCCAGCCTACCAGCCGCAGAGTCGAGTCCGCGATGGATGATGTGAGTCACGGCCCCCGAAGCTGGAACCCCCCAGCGCCCCGGAGCTCTGTCCCCCTGAGGCCTCACCCCAGGGCGCACAGTTCACATCCCCGAGGGGCAGGAAGATGGTCGGACCTCTGCTGGTCAGGCATCTTCTTCCATCAGAGGGATCTCTGTAAAAGGAGAGCCCGTTACCAGCTTAGCTGCAGGGATGTGGGAACAAAAACTTTGTTAAAGTATCTGTAATTCCCGGTGTCAGAAGAAAACGCCAAGTTCCACGTAAACTGACCACATAAAGCACTCATTACAGCGTCTTTGCTGGAAAATCTCACACCAGTTCACGCAAAATAAAGTGCCGAGACCTTAACCCCGTGTCCTAGCGGTCAGACCCGCCAGAGGGCGAGATGCTGTGCAGAGGCAGTGGGCAGGCAGGAAGGAGGCCCGTCTCTGGGCCACCTCGGCCATCACGGCCACCACACGCCCGGACTGGGGCCCTCGCGTGCCCCGCGGTGCTCTGCGTCCCCCGGGAGACCCTGGTTGCCCCCACTTCTCCGGGAGCTACACTGGCCTTTCCTTGTGCTGGGCGTGCGTGCCCGTTTCTTCGTCCCGGCGAGAGGCCTGCGTGCACACGGCTTCTCGGGGCCGCCCCACAGGCGCCCTGGTCTCCCGTGTGCGTGCGTGCATGCTGACCCTGGCACCAAGCTCTTCCAAGCCCTGCCTAGCGGACGGAGCGGGCAGAGAGCTCCCTGGCTCGCCCAGACGCCATGAAACCACCGCGGGCTTCCTGCTCCGACGGCTTGGGGCCTCCTGAAACCTGCACCCATCACGTGGGAGAGGACGGCCTCGCTCCAGGCCTCACGCAGGGAGAACAGTGAGCGGCAGGAGAGGCCAGGGGCGGGCGCGGGGCGGACACTCACCGTCGGCGATGTCGATGCCTGGGCTGCTGGACGCCGTCTCCCGCGCCGAGCCGGCCCCCGTGTCCGCGCTGTCGGGGCGGGGGCCCCCCGGGCACGCGGAAGGTGAATACAGACTCTGGAGCGGCTCAGAGGAGCCTGAGACGCCGTCACAGGGCTCTGAGCCCCCTGGGCCCGTGTCCGTGTCCCCTGGGCCGGGGTATGCCGGGGGGCTCTGGTCGTCCATAGGCAAGGGGCAGCCTGGGCCCACGGAGCCCAGGTACCCAGGGCCTGAGGCCCTCAAGCTGCCGCTCACGGCCTCGTCATAGGACGGAAGCATGACGGGAACCCCGTCCACCACCACGAAGTCCGGGTCGCTGCTGGAGCTCCGGGGAGGCCCCCTGTGCCGAGGAGAGGGGCGCCGACCGGTCAGAGTGGCGTGCCCCCCAGGACGGAGGCCCCCAGCAACCCCCAGGATGAAGGCCCTCCCACCCTGTGCAGCGGAGGCCCCCCCAAGACCGAGGCCCCCCACCCTGTGCAGTGGAGGCTCCCCAACACTGAGGACCCCCACCCTGTGCAGCGGAGGCCCCCCAAGACCGAGGACCCCCACCCTGTGCAGCGAAGGTCCCCCAAGACCGAGGACCCCCACCCTGTGCAGCGGAGGCCCCCCA